TGTTTATCTGCAGTTAGTTAGACGAATTCAAGTATGGAGCTTTAATATAATTTATCCAATATATCGCATTTGTACAACCAATGCAACCCAATAAATTGAAATATTTATGAAAATGATTAGAGTTCATTTATTATGATTTAAATATTTATGGAAGATGAATACGRTTCATTAATTATGATTAATACTTTATATTAGGAAATAATCAAAACCTCTATAAAATCACATATTAATCAAATGAAATGGACGGTTGAGATTGTGTTGTATTGGTTGCGGAAATGACAAGGGTTGTATAATAACCAACATATATATATATATATAAGTATTAGCAAGACCAACTTTTTTAACTTATGAGCTATAGCCCAAATATATCTCTGAGCCCAATATAAAGCCTAACATCTAACATAATCAAATCTAAATGAATTGGCGCCTAAAAATCTTTAAACCAATAAACACATCGACACATTTGACATTGACGGTCTCCAAATTTTAAAATCTCTCAAGAACTCTATCAATCTATTGATCTTTCCTAATTCATGGTTTGATTTCGATGCACATCATCAAGACATTAAGCAAGTGATTCAGCTATTTCCTTCAATTTTTTTGATTCCAAACTCAATCAGTTCAAGTCCACTAAAAGCCTAAAACGCCTAAACCGGTCAGACCAAGCCACCTTTTCATGGTCCGATTTAACCGGTCTGGACACTTGATGTCAAACCATTCGGTTTGAAAATTTTATAAACCACCATTACAGTTTGGTTTATGGTCTGAGGGATTAAACCGTCCAAACCGTACCGTGAACACCTCTAACATTAATATCAGTACTTATTTTTTATATCTAATACATGATATGATTAAAGGGGGTGTATATAGCATAATTTTCATCTAATTTAATTTTGATGACGTTAAGAGGAAAAAAAAATTAAATAACTCAATTGTAGTTAATTATTTGTGCTCAATAATTTAATTAAAATCTAATAAAAAATTATTTAGAGCAAATAAATAAATAAATAACCAATGTATCTTTCTAGAAGGTACGAATCCAAGGATGAGAAAAAGTGAAAAACGAAACGATGAATTTAATTCAATCACCGACGGCAGACGGAACTTTGATTTCCCTCAAAATGCGGTGGATCCACCACCATGCAGTTCATGAAAAATAGGTGCAAGGTAGCATATGCGTACATAGACGCAACCTCCTGCATTCCGTATACGTCATTGATCTCACGATACGTATTATGCCGACAATACGGTCAACAAAATGCTTGGTTAATCGACAATACGCACACGTTTCACGTTTCCTTGAAGGGAAATTTAAATGATTTAACCACAAGATTTGTGACCGGTTGATTTGAGCTTGAGTTCAAAAGTTCGGTGTTAGGATAAGTAATTAAGTATATTTGTCTATGTTTAGAACATGAGTAGCTAGCATGCATCCAACTGAATTTACTTGTATTAAAGTTTTTTAATTGTTGTTTGCATCTACATTAATTGGTCCTCTTAAGAACCAACCCAAATGATAAACTCATATTAAGCATGGATTTCTGTCATTAACTTTGTATGTAAATTGTAGATGCTAGTCTTTTAGATACTCTTAGTTGAGCAGTTCTAAGTAGTTACAACTAGTGTTGATTCAAAGATAATTGACATTCTGTTATCTGATCAGTTGTCTGGTGAGTAGCATGGTTAACTGGTGGTACTGCTATAGATGTTCTGTAGGGTAAGATTAATATAGGCAGGAGAAAGAATTATGGAAGAATTGTGGAAGGTTTAAGGGTTGTAATTTGACATGAATGGGTATGCTTGTTCCTTCTCCTTATTTCCTTATTTTTGTTCCATCTATTTTGGTGAGACAGAAATTTTTTTCATTTTTGTCCCATTTTGTTCTGTCTGGTTTGGTTTGGTTTGGTTTGGTTTGGTTTGGTCTGGTCTGGTCCGATCCTGGTGTAATTGTTGCACCAAACGAGGGACAACAGTTTTTTGTTTTGTCTTGCTTACCAACGGCATCCTAGCTGATGTATTCAGAGAAGTGAAAATTCACTTTTGTTTAAATTGGTGCAAACTGATACATTCTATTACATAAAGCTAGAATGCATCTCATGTTTCTTATGAAGAAGTCACTCAATTAGTTGCCTCCTTTTAAGGCTGAGTAAATCTAGACAACCATCAAACCCTTTTGCAGTTATTTGATACATTTTCTATAATCTATGCCTTCTATTCCTTACTATGCTAGAATTTATGTTCTGATGCCGTGCAGTAATTGCGATGTGTCTTTTGTGGAAAACTTCTAAGCCAATATTACCTAGTCTAAGGCATTGCTTATTTGGAATTCCAGTTTGGTTTTTATGGTTAGATTAATTTGGAAAAAATAAGTTTAACTTAGAACAGTTAAGACTCTATTTTGTCACCATGGAACATTGGAACTGTATTTTCGACATTCAAGTATACTAGCTCAAACACTTTCATTAGTACAAAGTGATGTACACTACTAAGCTTCAATGGGATGGAAAGAGGACATTGTGAACCAAACGTTATTTCTTCTTATCAACCTCCGTAAAACTTTGGAATGATCTCATTTTAATGCACAACTTTGCTGATAGAAAAGGGCTATGGTTTCTGTTCCCCGTACATTGACTGCATAGCTTGAGATCAATTTGGAATCCATTTATTTTCTGTTTGCATATAGATAGGTAGATGGACTGAACTTATTCTCTACAACATAAAAGCCTCAGAGTAAATCTCGAATCTTGTGGAACAGGATAGTTGAGGCTCCTGCAATAATCAGTATAGCAACGTTGGCACATATTACAAGCTTATAAAAAGTGACAATATGAAGTAAAAGAACGATGATTGATTGGATATTCTACAGCAAAATAATACATGTTAGTAGCTAATTAGCTTATCAAAACCTAGATGTGGAACCTATTATAAGTTATGACCACAAGTATGGAGGTGCCGGTTATGAGCAAATAGTTATATGGGAAATTAGTATTATTTGTTACTTGTTATAGTTTTACTAGAAACAGTTTTATTTTCAATTATGTTGTTTGATGAAAGCCGCTTAGGATTCGAAGAAAGAGAGCTAATCAATTATGCCACTGTAATCAGACTTATTGTGGACATCAAACCTGTGATGACGATGATGCAAATGAAGCATTCAGGCCTTGTCGTTGATGAGCGTCATGAACTCTTTTGCGCATGTTGTCAAGTAAATCTCCATATGATAATTTACGTGAGCTTTGCACAGCTTGGATGAAGCTGTAAGTCAATGCACCGATGGAATTGCCTGTGAACGCCTGCATGAAAAGTACACATTGAGTAGATGTTGGCTAGTAGGAAGTTCCATAGCTATTTTACTTACATATTACATTGTGAAAAGGTAAAAACTAAACTAAGCCAAATAAGCACTAACAGAAGTATTGAATACACCATCGAGGCCAAAAGAACAACACACATACTGACCGATGTATCTGCTGAATTTTGATGGTCATCACAGGCGCTAATGCAGATTGCTTTTCCACCACTAGTACCCCCATATGATGAAACATATGAGGGATGATGATCTTCCCACTTATAGAATCCTCCCCTGCATATAGAAGGTAAATGTGAGGCTTCCTGTTTTCTGAAATCTTGCAACTATTGAAATAGTAGAAACGAGTGTTCTTATAAATTACAACACTGTTAATACTAACCTGTCAATCCTGCAAAGAAAAGGTAAATCAAGAAGAGTTCCACTAAAGCAAGTGTCCATGATACTGTGAAGTATTGCTCCATGAGGTAGAGGTGCTACAATGATTGCATTGATCTCATCATCTAGTATCTTGCCAGATTCACTATAGTCAACAGGACATAAAGCTTCATCAAACCCATCTTTTTCATCTCCATTGCTATCAGGCACATGGGAGCCATGGCCTGCATAGTAGAACACCAATGAATCCCCAGCTCGGCAACCTTTGGTGAGCCACTCTAATGCCATTAGTATGTTGCGTCTGGTTGGAGTCCTGGTGGGTTCTGATTCCTCTTCTGCATAAAAAGGCACACTAGTCAAGTTTGAATCTTGCACTACCCATGATATGATGTTGTCTGGGATGAATCTTGCATTACCCATGATTTAATAGTTTGAGTTTGAATTCAAATAGGTGGACTTTGCAACTTGTTTAAGTTAACTTTTGCTCACAAAATATTACCATTCAATACAATTTACTGTTTGCCATTGTTCATCGACAGTTTTTGTTCATAAATAGTTTGTATTCTTGCTATTTTCAGGGTTGGTAATGAGAGAGAGAGAGAGAGAGAGGGAGGAAAAAACTGAAAACCTGTAAGGATCCGGATAGAAGCATTTGGGAAGCCCAGTTTCACCAATAATCGGTGCATACTCCTAACATTATTTATACTTGCATCCAGTGCCTTTATGTGGCCTTTATAGGTCACGCCACACAGCACCGCCCTCTTCTTCTCATGCACCTGTGGCGATTGTTGGTACATCTGTGGTTTTGGGCGATCATAACCGTTGCTGTACAGTGCCGGAGATGACAATGCCTGTGGCTGTGGGCTATAATAGCCATAACCATATGCTGCCTGTGGAGGTGGAGCTGAATAACCAGTATATGTTGGTGTTCCTAAAGGCTGACCATAAAGGCCGTTATAGTAGTTATTGCTTGACGCTCTATTGGCATATTTATCAACATAATGGAGTACTTGAGGGATGACATGATGACTAGCTTTTTTGTTGGGCTTGCTGACTTTGTAGCAGACGGGACAAGGTCGACCAGGCGGCACCATCAGGTAATTCTTGCACCCTTTGCAGCGTCCTTGAGTTTCCATATCTATCTGGTTATAGATTTAGAATGTTTGGCAAGTCTTTTTTGAGTTTGTTCAGCCCGTTTTATAGGCTGAAAAAAGTATCGATAACTTTTGCTTTCTATCAGAATTTTGGTTTTGTATTATAACAAACTTAGGCTTTATTCCATCATGGGTGAGGGTATGGAGGGAAGAACCAGGTTCGCACTTCAAAGTTCAAAACATCTTTCGGCAGAGATAGATTCGTGATTTGGTTCGACATCTCATATTTTTATATATAAGATGAGCATATATATGCTACTCATGACTTACTTGCCTAACCATTAAAGTTAACCTGTAATTAGATCGGCTTTCCACTTTCATAACCAAGCTTAGCTGTTAGAATTAAGCTTGTAGATCCTTTCTATAATAAGTCATTTGGGAATAAGATGCCTAAAGATCTACAAGCTAAATTTTAAAAGCTCAAGAGTTAGATGTGTATTAAAGCTGTAGAGTTGAGTAATTAGAGCTGTAGAGTTGTAGCTGATAGTTAGCATATGCAAATGGAGGATTTAAGGAAGTTTTACACATAGCTATTTATGGTATTTTATGTTTGATTTGCATAGCTTGGATATAGCTACAAGCACGTGTAAAACCAAACTAAACAAACCCCGTATCCGACTCAGAAGTAGGGTCCAGGGACGGTGGCGAATCCAGAAACTTCTATCATTGGGGGAACACTTAGAGGTGTCAAAAAAATCCAAAACCGATAACTCATCCATACCAAGACGGTTTCGGGTTATTCAGTTTTCGAATTAAACGGTTTGGTTTGATTTTCGGTTAACTTTTTTACTATTTCGGTTAAACTGAGCACATTATATTATTATTTATATACTTTACTATTTCGGTTAAATCGAAAGCAAGTAAATACATTAGATATTAATACAAAATTTGAGTGGGTCATAATGGACCAATGGCTAGAGAAATATAAGCCACAAAATCAATTTGTAATACAAAAGCATATTGCCACTTGGTCTTAAACTAATTTATAACAAACCTAGTGAAAAATAAATCAGAATGCTTAATAGTTAAAAAAAATATAAATTAGTGGTCGGTAGCAAAAAAATTAGAAGGCAAGAAGCCAAGAAATTAAACTCAGTTAGAAAGAAATCAAATAGCAAGAGGCCAATAAATCAAATAGCAAAAGGTTGATAAATCAAAAATAAAAGACAAACGAGTAGCAAATCGGAAATTAAAACAAACAAACTCAAGAACCCTAAATCCAATAACAATGACTATAGATCTACAAAATAATAAAATGCAAAAAAAAGTTACAAAAAGACATAAAATAATGGTTTATCAAATCAATAGCATTATAGCAAACGAAAACAAGATGACTTGAGTTGGGTTGGGGCCTTCAGAGTTGGGGGCATTAGAATTTAGTTGATGGGGCATCATATGAATTTTAGCTAAAAACAAAATCTACAACACTTCAAATTGAGTTTTCGTAGATCTTCTCTGTGAGGGTAGGATGTACGCAAACCTGTTTTCCATTTCTAAGGGTAGATTGCTTGTTTCCATGAAGCTACACGCACCTATAAAACCAAAGTAAACCAAACTAACTTAGGGGTTGTTTACCAAACGCTTATCTGGGTAAGCGCTTGCCAAGTAACATTACCTCTCCGGATGAATATGGTAAGGACCAAGAATCTTACCCGGTAAGAGCGAGACAAGGACCAAGAGTGTTATCCAGTAAATGAGGGCGACGACTCTTATCATAGTAAGCGCTTACCGGGTAAATTGTTGCATACAATGTCGTTTTTGTGGACTAAAATCCTACCCAAAGTAAATAATAGTGTTAAATTTACCGGTAAGCTTTTACTGGGTAAGTGTTCGGTAAATGGCCCCTTAGTATATCCCACTCAAAAGTTCAGGGTCTGGAGGTAGGATCCAAAAAATTTGCTTCTAATTTACACTGCCATGGATGTTATGGTATAGATACTTTCTTGTTCTTCAGATATATGATTTCCATATAAATTACTAAATCGGATATTAATCAGGATGGAATATATTGTTAGATGGTTAATGATATATACATACATGTATATATTGATGTTTGTTACGTGTGACAGTTGGAGAAAAGGGAAAGGTTGAGAAGGGAACCATTCGGAGAACTATGTATTTGTTGTTTATCGGAGAACCTTAAAAAGTCTCGCTTGTACATCGTTCTTTTCTTGGTGCCTAGTGGCTAATTGATTGTATATATTTTTGTTATTTCTTCTTTTGCAGATTCCTATTGATGGTCAATCATTCACACGTACGGTATCTTTTGATCCAAGGGTCAATGTCCAACGGAGTCCGAGTTAGTGGTAGATCCCAACTTTCTTGGAGGTCAAGGATTCAAAACTCCGCAAAGGTGAGGAGTGTTTGTGAGTTTTCCCGTATATGTTTGCAAGTTGCCGGTGCAGATTAACTCATACCCTTTTTTGTAAAGTGCAAATGTCTCTTTCTGCATTTCTGTGGTTTTTTGAGTACCCTTCTACAGCAGATTCCTACAGATGAAATCTTGATTTAAAGGGCAAACCACTTGCACATTTTCGATCGTTCATCCTTCAACCGTGAATGTCATCCGGTATACTAGGACTTTTATTGGCTCTTATGAATTAGTGCTTATGAGATTGTTACAAAAAAGTGTAAGACGACTTTATGATGCTGGATTTCTTGGAGGAATTAGATGCATTTTGATGAAAAGAGAAGTGGGAAAGTAATTAAAAACTATTTGTTTTTTGCAAGTAGAACCTCGAAAAGTCGTATGAAATGGTTAATGGAAACAATGAGCTGAAGCCCATTGTATATCGTATTCTCAAGATTCTTATTCGTCTTTTCGCGCAGGTCAAAGCATACACGCCACCAAAGAACAAGCACATACGTTAAAGATTGCAAGTCTTGATCGGTGATCATTGAAGATAAAAGACGTTTTATTCCTAACATGGTTTGGTTCTATCAATGATTTATTATGCACGGGGTTTTGGTCCCAAATAGAAATAGAGTATTGAGGCATGATGTATGTATTCCGTTGTGTTTAGGGGTCGTCACGTTGAGCATTCCAATGGCGACAAAGAGTTCCGTGAACGTTTTTGAAAATTTTAAAGTATTGGTGTTTGTTTTGTAACGAGTAATATTTATATAATAATAAATACAACAGATAAATTCACACAAGTTTAAACCCTAATACCGTTTCGCCAAACGTATACTTGTATTTTTTCTTGTTATACGAGTAGTTGTGTACTTGAAGTTGACCAAAGTTGTAACGCTATTCTTTTTTGCATTCCGAAGAGCAAAAGGTTGGTTTGCAATTGGATAAAGTTGCTCGCATACACTACATAATATTCTCTTTCCCTTTAAAAGTTTGGAGCCACTAAGGGGCCTTTTACCAAACGTTTATCGGGTAAGTGTTTACCAAGTCACGTTACCTCACTAGATGAATATGGTAAGGACCAAGAGTCTTACCCGGTAAGTGAGGACGACGACTCTTACCACGGTAAGCGCTTACCAGGTAAATTGTTGCATACGATGTCGTTTTGGTGAACTAAAATCTTACCCGGTAAGTAAATAACAGAGTTAAAGTTTACCGGTAAGCACTTACCGGATAAGTGTTTGGTAAACGACCCCTAAATATCTTCACAATCGACTATATACTATTATTTCTTGTATTTTAAAAAACAAGTGGTTATTTTACAACAAAAATACAAACGCAACATTTTAATTAAAAAAAAGGCTACTCTTGAACCTAGACCTTAACAACCAACCTTGTTCGGTTTGCAAAATAACAAGGAACAAGAACGTGTCTATTTGATCGAAGCTATATTATAGGGGTGTTCAAAAACCCGATCAACCCAACCCAACCCAACCCAACCCAACGCGAAATAACCTAACCAGAAGGTACCCGTTGTCTAATCGAGTTGTAAAATTGTCAAACCGTATGTATTGGGTTACTATTATTTGAACCCAACCCGATGAACCCGATATTCTTTTATTTCTTAGATTTAATATGATTGTTGAATTTTTATTAATATATACATTAGACAATTACACTATCATGTATACTTTTGATATACACATTTTCAATCTATTCACATCTCTATATAACTCATTTGKATATATGTTCAGTAACTGTGAACATATATATGTAAATTGAGAAAGTTAACTGAATGTGATATACGTAAAAAATACAGATAAGTTGTATCAAATGGTTGATGATGAAAAAGAAATTATGAGTAGAGAAATAACATATTCAAGATTAAAAGAATATTCTAATGTACCAAAGTATCAACCCGACCAACTCGTACGGATTGGGTTGGGTTAAGATTTTTCAAATCGCAAACATTGGGTTGGGTTGTTCAAATGTCTTCAACCCAATCCATAAACACCCCTACTACATTAGGTTAAGACAAGCAAGATCGAGACATAAAAAATGTCATCAAACCAGGTGGAATAAAAATCATCGAAACAAGACAAGATTAACAAATTACCGTTGTCAGATTAAAATCGTCAACTTCACTCTCGTATGTAAAAACAAATTCATGGGATTTGCTTTAACCATACAGGATGCATAGAAACTTGAAAAATACATTTCAACCATCAAAAGGTACAAACCATCACAAGATCACAAGATGAGTTGCCTGCCCTGGATAATTAGAAAATAGATGTGATCGTCGGTCGACTTTTTTCAATTATATAATATTTATATATACAACAAATAGACCCTGCACACCCTTTTCACCTTTAGTGATGTTTGAACCCTTGGCCTCCAGTATCTGCTAGGCCAAAGGGCTTTTAGTTTGTGGTTTGAATTTTGATCCACCCAAATCTCATCTCCTCTCCTCTCCTCTCCTCTTGTAAGAAAACAGGAAGTAACAGTTTAAAAAGTAAAGGGAGTTATGAACTACAAGAGGGCAGTCAGTGAGAGTGAGTATACACAAGGCCTTAAAGATTCTCTTCTGCTATTTTATCAGTATTTTCGAATAGTAGAACAATTTGAGCAACTTCTAAGAAAGATATATAAGTTCCTCCTCGACATCAAACCTAATCAAATAGTCATCGAGATCTGCTTCAATCGCTACGCCTTGTGCTTTTTGTTGAGGTCGTATAGCACACATAAATCTGCTGCTGTCTTCATCTGAGACCATGCACAAATGTCAGCTTCGGTTGCACCAAACTATGGTTTTACATATCCACACTAATCCATGATTTTACGTTTAAAAGAAAAGATAGAAAGGATTGTGGGACGTCATGCTTTTCAATTAACTAAATGACCCCCTTGATTAATAATAGAGGGAGTAATGAACTTTTCTTTTCATTTAAGGTAGAACCGGAATGTAGGCGCTTACTTTTGAAAGTGGACACTTATTTTTGGACAAACTAAAATAGAAATATGAACAATCATTTTTGGGGTGGAGACCAGAGAGTATAACTTTTTCGGTGAAATAGTGGGTCACTGAAAGACATCATGCACACAATATAAGTTCAAAAGAAATGAAAAAAAAATTAACATCAAGGGATAGGAATAGAAATGCATATAGAGAAGAAACTTAGGGGTTTCCGGTGTTCGACTTCTGAATGCATCATTTAGAAGACACCACATGAAAGATGGTTTGGTCATCTCCGATGTTGACTTCTAAATGCAACATTTAGAAGAAATACTCCCTCGGTTCCAAAATAAACATACAGTTTTAGAAATGTGTAATTATTACACTTTTTAAGTAACTAAATGACCATTTTACCCTTAATGATAGAGAGAGTAACGAATTTCTCCATCTCATAATTAAGGATATAATTGGAAAGTAGGCACTAACTTTTGAAAGTGTACACTTCTTTTGGGACAAACTAAAATAGAAATGTAGGCGCTTACTTTGGGACTGAGGGAGTATAAGACAAGGTTTGAATGCTATTCATGCCCCCTTCACCTTTTTCATAATTTAACCAGCCTTCAAGTTTAGCCTATCCCATTTAGTTAGGGATTAATCGGGCAAGGCTATTGAGCAGATAAATAGTGCATGCAAATAGGTTGTCAAAGCCTATTAAGTTCTTGGTATTCTAAAACCTAATTTTCATTCAGAAGCAACAGGAATATTATAGGCTTGTGTAGAAGCACAATTACGTAATCCTCCTTCCTAATTGTAAGCTTAAGGGCCAAATGTTAAATGGGTATATACACTATGACATGTTAACGAAAACTAAATGATATGTATTGAAAATACGTGCTCACGGAAAGAAAAAATCTTGCACATAATCCAAGAAACACAAAAGATCACAACAGCTGTCAGCTAATTACTTTTGATAAGCAAAAGCATAGGATTACACAATGAAAACCACCAGAATGTAAAAAACCGTGAAGTTATAAATTGCCAATTTACCCAAACTAAGGCTTCACATTTCTCGAGTCATTTAACCATAAAAAAGGATATATCCAGTCAAGGTTCTGATAGACCTAGACTTGGCACAGTCAAAAATTTAGGGTTTAATAATTATGAAAGTTTATGTTCCCTATATATGAGATTAATCAAATCATTAGGGGGGAGGAAAATTATTGATAAAGACATTGGTTTTCTAGGGTTTTGTGGGAAAGGGGGTTGACCTCTTGTCAACAAGGTCCAGAGTAATTTCTAGGACCAATGACTGCCAAGAATGTCAGTAAGTTGGAAGAAAGGGTTGGGGCATAACATAAATCAGGGAGGTGGGATCCACAATATTGGCCCGGTTTGTCTGAGTGAAAACTTTGCGGAAAACTTTGCTTCACTGAAAAATTGTTACTACGTAAAATTGTCGAGACCCAAATCCAACAGGCCAAAGTGGTGGGTGAAAGAGGGCCGAGAGAGTGGAATGGTGTTCATTCGAATTTAATAATGGATGGTGAAAACTGCAACATGAAAAAACATATATCAATAATGGATGGTGATGGCTCGCAAAGAATTTCTGTGAGGGGGCAACAATGGCAGGAGGCATGGCTCCAGGAGAGACGAAGAGGCGTTTGATCTTAGGTTCGAGCCCAAGTGGCAGCATGCCATCTTATAAAAGAGATCCAATAGCTTCTGTAATAAAAATAAAATAAAATTCGCCATCTATTTTTCTTAACCAATTGAGGGGATTCGGGATTCCTTCCCCTATTTTCATCTTTTTTGGTATTTTGAACTCTAGAGAATGCATCAAGTTACTAGCTCATATCCTTTTCGTTTGTTTCAATTGCAATTACAATTCATTTGATAACCTTTTTTTTTTTTTTTGTAAGGGTGTCCGGGCCAAAGCCCGACTAATCCCCGGCAAATTTGGAGGCTAAACATGGCCTCACTTAAATGTCGCCAACACTCCCCTCCCAGGGCTCGAACTCGGGTTTATGACTATGTCATGCCCAAGCTTTTACCACTAGGCTGGAAGGTCTTTGACTCATTTGATAACCTTATTGGGCAATGAGATCATAAAACCATATGATCATCAGATGGTGTCGGCTAGAACCACAGTGGTGAAAGAGGCAGTGGCGACAACACACGGTGGTCAGCAGAGACCATGTTATAGCAGTCAGTGCAGATGCACGACGATGGCTATCATATAGCAGCAATGACACAAATGTTGTATCATAAAGGATCAGGCATGGCCAGAATACAATTTGGAAAGGATACAACTTACAAGCTTACACTCGTGTCAAAGGGGATGGTAGGCCGAGCAAGGGGCCTCACTAGGCCGTAATTTCGGCCTGAAGTGGGGCTTGATATCGGATCCTTTTTTGGGCAGTGAAAAGAGGGTTTGAAGGGTCTTAAACCTGGGTCTCTCTCATCATGAAAGTTGTTGTCCTGACTTTGAAGATCATGGATCAGGATTACGAAGGAGAAATTCGATCCAAGAATCAATTGTAATCAATCTGATAGACCCAAACAATTGCAATCGTATTAATGGCAAAACTGGACTGATTACAATGAAGAATAGAAGAAAAACTAGATGGGAATTCGAGAGCCCATTTCTCTCCTATATGATCAAAAGATCACACAAAAACTGAATGAAAATCCCCTACCAAAACCACGCACCTGCCATATACCATTCTCCTTGCCTTCTTTATTATATTTCCAAAATTACCCCCTTGACTTTACTCTTTATTTATCTTTGGACCCCTCCTTAAATATACTTTCGTAATTGGAGGCTTATCAATACTCCCCCCCCCCCCAATTACTCACCTTGTCCTCAAGGTGGAATGTTGGAAACTGCTTACACATTCGGGTACGACTCCCACGTGTCTTCAAACTCTGGCAATCCCCGCCAACCAAGAAGGACTTCGATGTTATTATTGTTACGATATTGAATACCTTTCCGAGTTTTTGGTTCTATTTGCAACTCCCAATTATCTTTAAGTGCTACGGGGAAAGGTGTATGTGTTCCATGATTGCCAACAGCTTCTTTCAGTTGAGACACATGAAAAACAGGGTGGATGCTACTCCCCTCGGGCAACTGTAAACGGTAAGCCACCTTACCTATACGTTCGATAAAAGGCCTATAAAAATGAGAGGCCAACTTAACATTTCGATGAGTGGCCAAAGTCGTTTGTCGATATGGTGGTGCCTTTACAAATACCCATTGTCCAACCAATAGCTCCACATTCTTTGATGTTTTTCCGCCGATGCTCGTATTCTTTGTTGAGCTCGGAGTAAATGGGTACGTAGCTCCAACAACATTCTCTTTCTAACAGCATCTGATCCACATTAGAATTAGAGACCTTCATATGTGCATAAGGGGTTATTTTGGGAAGATCTCGACCATATAATATCTTGAACGGGGTGGTGTGGGATGACGTATAAAACGAGGTATTGTAAGAGTATTCAGCCCATGGCAGCCAAGTAACCCGCTTTCATGGCTGTGCTCCGGCGAAACAACACAAGTAAGCCTCAATTCCACGGTTTACCACTTCAGTTTGCCCATCACTCTAAGGGTGGTAAGCTGTGCTAAATCTGAGTTTAGTTCCCTGTAATTGCCAAAGTTCCTGCCAAAAATGGCTAAGGAAGACTTTATCTTGGTCCGAGACCTTGGCACCCCGTGAAGACGCACGATCTCCTTCACAAAAATGCCCGCTACTTTAGGTTCTGTGAAGGGGTGTTTAAGAGCTATAAAGGGGTTGAATTTACTCAACCGATCAACACCACCAATTGAGAGTTAAAGCCCTCGGAAACAGGTAATCCTTCTACGAAATCCATGGATAAATCTTCCCAAACCCGCCGTGGAATATCCTGGTTGTAGTAAACCGGCCGGTGTCAATGTCGAGCTTTTATTACGTTGACAAGTCACACACGCGGCTACATATTTCTGGACAGCCGACTTCATTCCTTCCCACCAAAATTCGGCTTTAAGTCGTTGTAAGGTTTTAAGGACCCCACATGACCCCCAATGGCTCTCCATCATGGAATTCCATAAGTAATCGGTAACGATAGGAGATTTGCTGGGGATTACGAGCTTACCATGCCAAAGTAACAAATTGTCTCGCAACTGAAATGGGCCTGGGCAGCCGAACCAAGTTGTAAAGCATCAATGCGGGCTTTACACTTAGGGTCTTGGTTTACTTGTTCACTCAGTTGAGTGATGTCCCATCCCTGAAAAGTAAGTAATTCCATTAAGGTTGGATCATGGGGTCTTCTAGATAAAGCATCTGGAGCCGCATTATCTTTTCCCGGTTTGAACTGGATCGAGAAATCAAACCCAATTAGTTTGATTAGCCATTTATGATACTCTATTGCCACCTCCCTCTGTTCTAATAAGTATTTAAGACTACATTGATCCGTCTTAACAATGAAGTGCCTTCCCAAAAGATAATGTCTCCACTTTTTGACAACCAACACGATAGCCATCAATTCGCGCTCATAGACGGACTTAAACTTTCCTCTGGTTGGTAAAGCTTGACTGAAGTAAGCTATTGGCCTTTGCGACTGCATAAAACAGTCCCCACTCTCGTACCAGAAGCATCTGTTTCTACAATGAATTCTTTATTGCCATCTGGTAAGGCTAACACCGACAAGCCCATCATAGTAGCCCTTAACTGTTGAAAAGCTGCTTTGGACTCCCCATTTCATTCAAAATTGTTTTTTTTTAATAGTTGGGTATTCCTCCATAACCCTTCACAAATCGTAGGTAGTATCCCGTAAGTCCTAAAAACCCACGAAGTTCTTTAACGGTTCGTGGAGAGGGCCACTCCTTAACTGCTTGCACCTTACCGACTTCTGCCTCCACTCCTCTATGAGAGATCAAGTGCCCCAAGTATTCGACCCGATGTTGCCCAAAAACGCACTTCTTACGATTTGCCACCAAGTGATTGTCGCGAAGAATTTGAAGTGCTAATGACAAGTGATAGGCATGGTCTTCTGCGCTACGGATGTAAATGAGTATATCATCAAAAAAGATGAGAATGAATTTACGAAGATGAACTTGAAACAACTTGTTCATAAGAGCATGAAACGTGGCCGACGCATTGGTGAGGCCAAAGGGCTTTACAACGAACTCATAATGTCCCTCATGTTCGGAATGTCGTCTTCGCAATGTCTCCCTCCTGCATTCTAATTTGGTGATAATCAGATTTGAGATCAAGCTCTGAAAAAATATGCGCACCATTTAATTCATCAATCAATTCCTCTATAAATGGGATAGGGAATTTATTAGCAACCGTAACATGATTTAGTGCGATAATCCACATAGAATCTCCAACTCCCGTCCTTTTTCTTAACCAACAGCACCGGACTCGCGTATGGACTCTAACTAGGCCGAATGATTTGAGCAGCAAGCATTTCTTGAACTAACTTTTCGATCTCATTTTTTTTTTCATGTGAATAACGATATCGTTTGGTACTTATAGAAATGGTATTTGGAACGAGGGGAATGGTGTGATCATGGCGTCGTTGTGGAGGTAAGCTGTTGAGTGACTCGAACACTCGGAGTATTGCTCAATAACCTCCTAGAACATCGAGTTCGATTCTAACTTTTGAAGGACAACCTCTTCTTGTAATGAATAAAGATCCACCAACAGGGCCTCTTCTATGGAATGCCACACTTTATAGAGAGATTTTAAAGAAACTGCAGCCTTTTGTAAACGAGGTTCCCCTTTGATGACAATTTTACACCCATCAATTTTGAACTTCATTTGCAATGCTTTCCGGTTGACTTTCATGTCACCTAAAGTTTCAAGCCACTGCATTCCAAGTATGACATCGGTCTTCCCAATTCTAGAGGCAAGAATTATGTATTAATTCTTAAATTTGGACGTAATAATTCCACCCCCTTACAACAGCCTCTGCCTTTTACGACATGACCAGTACCCACCCTTTACCCCGAAACTAGGAGCCTCTTGCATTGTAATTGTAATCGAGTAACCAAATCCGTAGAGATAAAGTTATGGGATGCCCCACAATCAATAAGAACGATCACGGCTTCTCCATCGATGTGACCCGGAATTTTCATAGTCCTCGGTGATGATAAACCCACCATAGAGTTTAGTGACAGCTCGATTGGTGGAATCACAGTATCTTGACATACCTCAATTTCATTTTGGTTAAGTTCGCCATCCTGTTCATTAGTTTCTGTAGGATCATCTTGGAGCAAGATAATCTATAATTCCTTGTTTTTACACTTGTGACCCACTCGATACTTCTCATCACATTGAAAGCAAAGTCCCTTTGCTCGTTTGTCTTGAAGCTCTGTCTCCATTAATTTCCTGGTCACTCCAGATTCGGGCCGTAATATGGATGTTGCACTAGTCCCCGTACTCTTCCTCAACAAGGATGGAGCACTAGTGACCGTGGTACTATAAGTTGGAGTTGGATGGAGACTTGAACTGGTGAAATTCGGGGAGGGTTTGTACGATACATTATGCCCTTTAACGCTTCCACTTAAACAAGAATTTCAATCCTCAACCAATTGGGCCGTTTCCATGATTTGGGCTAATCCTTGAGGCCTCAACAGTCTAACCTCAACCTGTATGTTGGGCTTGAGTCCATTCATGAAATTACACTCTAACACTCGATGTGAAAGATCTGATAGAGAAGACGCTAAAATTTCGAAGGAATGACGAAATTCGCGAAGGTTACCTGTTTGTCGAAGCGCTAAAAGTTGTTCAAGGGCGGAACCCTCGTCAGTGAGCCTAAACCGGTTGATAATCTGCAATTTCAGATCATCCCATAGTAAAATTGGACGGCGGCCATCAACCCAGTGGAACCATGCGAGAGCCTCACCCTCCATACATATATCCGTCGTGGCTACCTTCTCTTTATCATCGAAACGTTGAAGTGCGAAATAGCGTTCGGCTCTGAAAATCCACCCATCTGGATCAGTCCCATTGAACATGGGTAACCTACACGTCGTAATCTCCAATCGGATGGAATAAATCCTTGAGTCGTTGGTTTCGAGGAACTATTTGTCTGTTGAGAAGAAACGAAAGAAAAATTAACATCACCTATTGGTTTCGTAACCGGACTGCCGCCAGATCCATGTGATTGATACGAACCACCAGATGTCTCGCTGGAGATGATACCTTCGGCCCTTGTTGTATCAACGTATCCAATTTCCCCGCAATGGCTTGAATCCCTCGATCTAAATCATCGATCCTCTTGGTGTTCCCTTTTAAAATCGGTGCGAATTGCCTGAACACTCTTCTAACACGTCCAATCGATCAGCTTGAGATTTGGGAGGCATGGTCGATCAGAATTGGTGGCTCTAATACCAATTTGATAGACCCAAAAGATTGCAATTGTATAAATGGCAAAACCGGACTGATTACAATGAAGAATCGAAGAAAAACTAGACGGGAATTCGAGAGCCATTTTTCCTATACGATCAAAAGATCACACAAAAACTAAATGAAAATCCCCTACCAAAACCACGCACCTGCCACATACCATTCTCCTTGCCTTCTTTATTATATTTCCAAAATTACCCCCTCCACTTTGCTCTTTATTTATCTTTGGACTCCTCCTTGAATATGCTTTCGTAATTGGAGGCTTATCAAAATCTTAACAAAAACTTGGACCTTCAACTTGTAGACAAGGTGTCTTTTCAGTAGGGGAGTAATGTTAAAACTCGTGCATGGGCCTCGTCCCAGTTTGATTGCTCATTGTTCATTCGAGCAGGATTCAAACTCTCAACAATAGAGTAATCTTTCTCATTGTTCATTTGAACAATAGAGTTGATTGATTGCACCCTTTGTAATTGATTTATACCCTACCGTAAGAGGATTCACCCTTTTGTAGGGTCATGTCTCTTTCTCACTATCCAAATTTCTATATTTATTTGTTGATTGTGTTGAAAAATTGAAATTTTGCTTTAACTTATTCCCCCTACACCCCACCCCTGCACCCTCCAGGGCATCCAACAAGTGACAACTAAACTCAAAGATTGCTTTTGTTGCATGACTTAGCCCAGAACCTTAAGGCATGAATGACACCCATGGACCACTTGTGCCCATGTTCAAGAGCGGCAAAAGTTGTATCTATCTGGTTGAGTAGATTCTGATGTATGTTTAGCATAATAGGTTTTGTTGCACAAGGAAAAAAAATATTTTTCATATGATAACAGTCAACTCTTTAAAATTTTGATAGGTTACTTTATATGCAAGTGAAGGTTACCATGAGATACCTCTCATCCTACAATCACAAATTTAATCTACTCATATTAATCTTGAGATGAACTCAACCAAGTTCATTAAAGTAAACTTCTATAGGCTAAAACCTAACATGACTGAGTACATTCATTCCCATTGATTTTTAGCATTAAGATCCATTTTACAAGTCCAAGTAAGAAATTTGTTAAGAAAAGTGAATGTATTGGTGTATATTTATTATCCACAAAAAGTAAATGTGTTTGTGTTTCTTATTCTTTGAAGTCTTAATACAATACTTGATAGGAAAGTGAAGGCTAGTATATATATATATATATATATATATATATGTAGAGGAGCGATCAAATGAAAACCACCCTCATTTGTACAAACCGTACAAACCACCCTCATACGTCGATTTCATTGTTTAATCTTAT